ATTTGATTTTTCTACTGATTAGTTTTTAAAATATAGATACAGCTACTCTTGATACCCAAGCTAAAACAAGTTCTTTGCTTGAACATAGCATGTCTCTGGCTGCGAGCAAAATCTGGAATGCACCTGAGTTGGAGGATTTAGTCTCCAGCCAATGGAGACTAGCCTCGAGGTGTTCAATGGTTTCAGATGCTTTTGGTGGTGGTGATGGAGGCTCTTCATTATCCTCTTCTTGTGGCTCGAGAACCGGTACACTTGCCTCCGTCGGTGCTATAGTTACGTTACGGACGATCTCGGAGTCTGTCGAGTGCTCATATGTTGGATATTCGTCGTCAACAGAGTGCCACTGGTGTAGCTCTTCTTCGCTCCATTCAGACAGCTTCTTTGTCTCGCGCACATCTTCCTCTGTAGAGCCGTACAAATCTGTCTCGTCATCATTATCTTCCGTAGTGGATTGTCATGATGAAAAGGCTAGCTCCCAGACCCTTCTCCCAGCATTTCTCTACATATGAAGAGCTGATTGGTGCCATGGCCTTCCCACCTAAGTGGGAAACTTCCTTCATGTTCAGGCTTTTCAGATAGGCTTCAAGCATTGTTGAAGGATTTAGTGAAAAAAAAACGTTTGAAATGCATTTACAAGGTTTTAGGGATTACAGAAAGGAAATTTGAGAATTTTTAGATGATGAAAAGTATTTTTAATTTTGACACTCAGACTAGTTAAAAAAATAATCGATATTTTAACGGACAAATTTAAGTAAAAAATCTGATTTTTTATGTGCAAAAGGCTTCTAATGTTTACTATAAGTCTACAAAATTTTGTAAAGATACACTTAAAATATTAAAAGTTATTAGTATATAAACTATAACGAGGTTATGGTTACGAGGTCGGTCCCAAGGACCAAGCCCGTGTTGAAAAAGTTATAATTAATGACCCATCGCGTTATATCTAAATTTGTGTTAAATCAGGGCGCATAAAATCGGGATTTCACTGTATTTGCATTATTTGCTGCAGATGTGCCAGTTACAAATGTTCCTTGTTCAAATTGGTTTTTCTACCTAAAATGACTTCAAACCTAAAAGTGGTCTTGTCTTGCACAAACCCAAGTGAGTATCTTGATGACAATTATATTGAAAGTCAATAAGGATTACTGAAATCTATATAAGCAAGAAACATCACTGGAAGTTTTTGTAAACTGAAAAAGTTTAAATAAATATGATATGTTAATTCCGGTTTTTCTTTCTGTTTATCTTTCTTTAAAAATTTTTGAATTACTTCACATGCAAGCATGTATCCAATTTTTGGTTACTCACATGTTCACTGTGTGCATTTTTAAAATACTCGTGTAACCTCTGCTCTTCATGATCAACGTGAGCAAAAATACACAGTGGCCCAAAAAAGCACTGTACCATTTGAATTAAACCTTATATTTCGGATAATAGACAAAAATAATTGTAGTTATTAATATTTTCTTCCTTACATATATTATGCTGCTTATTCACTGCTGTAAAACTAGCAACTCGTACACTTTTTGCTTTTTCAATGATGAATGCTCTGAATCGTCAGTTGGGTGCCCTCACAGTTAACAATATTTTCAGTAATTTCTCACCATTTTTATGGTTGACATAAATGTGCATAATTTTAGATATATAAATGGGGTAATAATAATAATCTATTTCATAATAATGACAATTATTTAAGATCGAATTTGGATATACATTTAATCTTAGAACTCATAATTTACTTTTTAAACAGATTTTCTACAGAAAAAATGTTCGCTTTTCAACTGAGTTTTGTTGCTTAAAGGATGAGATGATGTTATAGAGGCCCAAAGACATAGAACATGTAAAAGGAACACTCGATCAGTTTTTTTAAGAAATAAACTGCAAGTGATGATTGCTAATATTCTTAAATGTTTTTATTTGTTGTTTTGTTTATTAAAAAGCCTACTAAAAATAATTTGTGTTTTAATTTCTACTGTAACAACAATGATTCATTTGCAAAATTCCTTAATTCAAAGGTAATTAACTTGCCAGAAAGGGAACGTGTAAAAAACTAGTCAAAGAGGGCAAAAATAGAGGTGTTTTAGGATGTTAGGTCAACATTGGGTCAGTTTGAACAGTGATTTTCTTGAACCCTGATTTAGCGTGACCCCGCTTGTTTTGCAATGACATTTTATGGACCCCAACGATTGCGTTATAATGGGGCTACACTCTACTCAAATTCTTGGTAGACATCAATGTAATCTAAGACAAGTAGTTAGTCAGACTCCTCAAAGTTTGGTTTGCTATGACATCTGAAACATGAATGCCATCTGTTGAAAATTGTGATCAGTGGTAACGCTTTTGTGAATTTGTCATTGGCATTGCCATTGAATTGGCAAACTACTCGATATTTTCCATTCCATAATCGTTTAAAGATCTATCATCTTTGGGGTGCTTGCTAATGTTAAAAAATGTTTTTGCATACAGAAAAAAGCATTTTGTATAATATGTACACAAGTTTACGTTGATGGGACCACTGAGAGATGAGCAGTTAATCAGTTACCATATTTTTCGGTGTATAACACGCATTTTTTTACCCCAAAATTTGATGTCAAAATCTGCTTGCATCCTATACACCAAAGGTATGAATAATATATATGTATATATACGATATACACAAGCCATGTGTAAGTATATTTAAATAGGCATGCATAGTTCAGTTCAATTGAAGGTTCAATAAAAATCTTTCA